CAAGGCTGCTTCCTTTTGTCAACACAGTTTTTCAATGAAAAAAAAAAAGCATTTTGAAAACAGATTTTAAGATTAATTCATATTTTCAATTTATTTTTATTGTTGAATTAGACAGATGAAGAAGTGGAAAAAAAAACAGCCGTCGAGCTAATTTTGAAATATTGCGCTCTAATCCTAAGAGATTAGGTTCTATCGAAACAACATATTTGACAGATACTATCAGTTTTGATTTTCCAGAAGTTAGTCCCCCATTTTTTCTGCCGCTGTTATCTTTTATTGCAACTTTCCTGTTTCAATTTTACCAGACCTCCACCTCACCAGAGGGGTACCATAAAATGAATGGATAAAAATACTCAAAGTTATTTTTTCTTTCCGTATTTTTCAACTGCGCATCACCCCATCAAGAATCATAATAAAATTACAATGCAGAAAAAATTGGAAGAACTTCGACGCGGAGACAAATTGTTCCCTAGTTTTATGCTTTTTTCGTTCTCTTTGCCTTTTCACTGATTAGCTGGTTAAAATCGTATAAACTAATGTGAGACATAAAGTCTTTATAGTTCGTTAATTTTGTAGCCGACTTGTTTCTTTGCTAAAATTCAAAGCCATTTTAATCGAGCACTCAAAATTAAGCCATTCGAGTTCCTTTTGCTCTCCCACGTCAACTTCCCGAGTAAAATATTTTTTCTCTCCTTCAACCCTTTCACTGACTAATACCAAAGAGTGAAACAAATGAGTGACCCAATTACTGATTACGTTCTGGGAAGAGAAAAGTTACATTGCTCAACAAATAGCTATCATTTATTAAAACGGAAAGGACTAGCTTCAAACTGCAAGGTATCTCGCTGATCGTGGTGGTTAATTTTCAACTCAGTAATTTGCATAAAAGTTTTGTATCTGGATTTCAGCTGCAGAAGGCCAAGTGAATTCACAATAATAATTGATTCTGCTTAGACGTAAAAAAGATCATTTACTTCGCCATGAAAGTTGGAAGCGCTTGTAGCTAGTAGCCCAGAATAATGCTAAGATAGGAAGACATTATTCTGAGCAAAAGTCATTAACTGTTAACAAATGTTGATTTTAGGTTGTACAGGAATATGAAAGAGCTGTCATTTTTCGGTTAGGACGATTGATTGGTGGTGGAGCCAAGGGCCCAGGCATGTCATATCTTATATTCCAAACTAAGCGATTTACTATGCTAATCAGAGGCACATTTGTCAGATATTTAAGAGCTCCCTCCGACTTGTTTCACTCTTCAATCTTTTGTTTCTTCGTCACTTTTTGTTTTTCGTTTTTCATATGAGGATCCATTTACGGCAATCCTTCTTTGATATAACCACCTCTTAATGTCGCCTTCCTGAACTAAAAAGGAAAAAGAGCAATATACACATAGATTAATTTTTCAGGCATTTTCTTCATCTTGCCGTGTATTGAATCCTACACAAAAGTAGATTTGAGAACTGTATCATTTAATGTTCCGCCACAAGAGGTTATCGTTATGTTTGTCCATTTTTCCTCTTTTTCTTTTTCGTTGCACACAGTTCAGAATTCTTTATAATGTGACGACGCTCACTCAAAAGCTGTTTTAAGTATTCTGAACAGTAAGTGACTCATTTACAGCAAAAACTGAGGAATTTAGATATTAACGAAAGATTCCGTGACGGTTTCTGTAGATGCAGTAGTGTACTATCGTATATGTAATGCAACAGTATCCGTAGCTAACGTTGAGAATGCTCATCATTCAACAAGGCTTCTTGCACAAACGACTTTACGAAACATGCTTGGCACAAGAAATTTATCAGAAATTTTATCAGATCGAGATGCCCTTGCAGCGTCCATGCAGGTTAAAATAAAAAAAAAACAAAGCTTTTTTTTAAAATTAAAGTAATCCTAACAATTTACAAGGCTCATTTATCACGTTGAGCCGCCACACCGTGCCTCTTGGCTTTTCGCCTAGCAGTAGGCTGAAATAAATTGTTCAATTTTGACAGTTTCTACTAAATACGATTCATCCTAAGCAAAAATTTGTTACCTATTAACTAATTTTCACAGAAAATACCTGTTAAAGACTGTTAAAGCGGTAAATCACGATGTCAAAAAAATTTAATCAACATACCAGAGTCGTAGATAACGAGAATTCAAAACTGTTGAGAAAATTCGCGTTTTAAAAGCAATATTTCAGAAAATCATGTTCCCTATTGACGACCTGGTGACATAACACTACAAGAATTAATAAAACATCATTCTTAAGTGTTTCCTGAATACCGTTTACTTTCCAAGCCCATCCGTAGCAAAAAATAAGATAAATGACTAACGCATTTGTAAAGCTTTGCTACCTAGTCAAACAAACTCACTAAAATTAGCATTTCTAGCCTTGGCAGTTTAAGGAACCGTAATTATAAGCCTCTAATACCACAATTTCTATTCAGTATTGTTTCCGCAGCTAAACATTCAAATCTAAAACCTACAGCAATTATTTTGAATATAGCTCACCCGCCTTAGTTTTACTAGTTCCTTATAAACAAGAGAAATAACTTGTTAGTTTGCTTTCAAAGCTTCGCTTCTGTTTACAGACTAATCATTTAATCCTTGTTTTACCAAAAACAAGAAAAATAAATTATTTTTTTCCGTAAGTACATAAATAGGTAAATACATAAACACATACACTCAAAAATTATGACAAAAAACTAGCAGCTTCCAGGCTTTATTGGACGAAGCGACAGAAAGCTGGGGAATCAAGGTTGAACGTGTCGAAATGTAAGTATCTTAATTTTTGATTTATGCTGAATTTTTCTGAAAATCGGAATTTATCAAAGGAGGGAAAAACGAAAAAAAATTTAAAAAAAATAAAAGCGGTTTTCTTTCACGCCACCACTAGTGGAGCTTAATTTCACATAAGCTGTTAGATTTTTAGTAAAGACGTTCGACTGCCGGTGCAACTGCAAAGAGCAATGGCGGCAGAAGCAGAAGCAACGAGAGAAGCTCGGGCCAAAGTTCGTGTTTTTAGTTTTTTTTACAGCTTCTGCAAGAAACCAAATTTTCTTAAAAACCAAACTTTTTTATAACAGCTGCAAACAATAGAAAGCTGTAAAACTGTTTTAGCAAATGACCAAAAAAGAAACTTTTTGAGAAAAAACCTGATCACTACGAATGCAAAATTTATTTTTGCCTAACGTCAAGCTATTCATTTGAAAAAATAGGCTTTTCCTGTTTGAGTATCTTCTTTTCTAATACCAAGCCCATAGAGATTTTAAAGTCGAAAGTCAACTTAGTCTCAATGGTAAATTTAGATTTTACTTTTCGTACTTCCACACTTCTACTTCATCATAATTAAAATAAATAAAAACCAACTTTCAAACGACTTACAGCTGTGTAGAGCTGCTAATGCAGACTTTACTGTACAGAATGGTTTTTGGTAAAAGTATTTTTTCACATTTAGCTTATCAAAAATTTTCTTTCATAAAATAGGAGACCACTTGCTATCAAAATTAACATACTTCGTGCCATACCAAATTTTATGGTAGAAAAGCAACGTAGGTAGTGAGCTACTGACCCTATGAAGTTTCAACAAAGCCACAGACGATAAGCTGAATGTAAAGGGCGTGTCCGTCGCTGTCGCGGTTAAGCTTGTTCTTCCAGCGAAAAACTTCTCGTTGGTCACCAACTTGATTTTCTGTACACGAGGTCTTGACACTGCCTGACTCATTTGTGATAGTTTCACTTTTGCCTATATTGCTAGCTTTCTAAAGCTCAAATGTTAAAATGTCACTTTAATCGTTTTGCCAAAAAAACTTGCAGCAGAAATGAGAAGAGGCGGCTAAAGATTGTGAAATATAGTCAAAACGAGGAAATGGGAGGAAGCAAATAGTTAAAGCAAAGATACGGTGCAGAATATGATAGAGACAAAACAAAAATTCGAAGTGTAAAGTCTTAACAGCTATACTTTGCCTCCTGTCTTTGTTTTCACTATTTCCTTTTTTCTACTATTTCGTTTTACTACATTACACCTTTCATGATCTGCGGCGGCTCCTCTTCATTTTCATTAAAAGTTTTCTCTCAAGATCACTCTCCTCGTATTTCGAATAATTCATTAGAGTAAAGACTAAGTCAAGGACGTTTAAAGAACAATAAAAGTAGAGTCTTTTAGAATATACACTCTCTGAGTGCCATTTGTCGAATCCTATTCACGTGGCCAAAACACCATAATAAACAGGTATTTTAGGCAAAGCAGAAAATAGAGAAACTGCATAGGTAGTGGATAAAAATTCTCAGATCCCTAAGATAGCAGTTACAAAAGTGCCTGCACTGTCCATTACGCCTCGCGATAAAACGAAGAGTGTTTTGGAATGGCAAAAGAGTTAAACGGGCATATTAGCATCAGACTGATATAATGTTAGTAAAGGCAAATCCAGTGTTATCACAGGTGAATTAAGCGGTGTGGAGAACCCTGTATACAAATGATGAAGTCAGGCTGACCATCAAGAATGCATCTTTGGGGGTGTGTATGCTTATCTCATTAGCGCTGCACGCTGTCCTCTAGTTGAGCAAAACCCTTCGACGAATGAAGAGGCCAAATTCTATGTACTATGTTGGTTATATGGAAACATAATAACTTTCTGAACAGTTTTTTAAAGAATAATCTGATAAGGGTGGCATTAGCTTCTAAGCTGCAAGTCAGAAAAACAATTTCTTTTGGCAATACTGGAGTTCCTCTGCGGAGTACAGCTTCTTGAACCTATTTGCTTTCACTTCTAAAAAGCTGCCGTTTTTGAAAAGTTTGAAAATCTTCAGCTTGTTTCAAAGGAAAAAAAACGCTGCGATATTTAAGAATTCCGTCGACAAAAGGACACAACTCGTAAACAACAAGTTTTCGGTTACACAGCAACGTCCTCCGTCCATCTCAACTACCCCCTACGCATACTTTTCACCAAAAACCACTTCTCCCTCTCCACTGAATTCTTACCCAAAAATAAAATCCTAACCTAACGGTAGAAAAAAATGCAGAGTTTGATCAGTCAAAGCTTATTAATCTAGACAACAACTCCTCTACAAGATGTGAAATCTTGCACTTATCTGACATTAAGAAACCATACCTTTTTCACTAAGAATTAATTTAGTTTGCAACTTTATTGCATCCATAATCTCCATCAAAACAGACTGAATTTCAAAACACAGGCTAGAGAGGAGTAAATGTTATAAACACTTCTCAAAAAGCAGTGCTACGCGTGACTAAGGATTCCTTTATAAGTCGTTAAGTATGGAAAGGAAAATGACACGTATGATCCGAAACTTGACTAAAATATTTTTTTCTTTATCCAAGCAGAATTAAATAACTCCAGAATTACCTTCATATCAGTATTATAAATAATAGCGTCGTACCTACAATTTATTTGGAACTGCGAAACTTGACAATAACAACTATAACAACATCTCAAGAAAAAACCTGAGAAAAAAAGATAAAAAACTATCATACATCAACAGTATGTTACGACACAAAACAAACAAAAAAGATGAGGAAAAGCACTGGATTCTTGACAAAAGTTTTCAAGAACAACTGTTTCAATCGAAGCAACAATACTGTTTCAGGTAATTGCTGCAGAAGGTGAACAGCAAGCATCTCGTTCATTACAAGAGGCGGCAACAATTATTTCAGAGTCTCCTGCAGCTCTTCAGTTAAGATACTTGCAGACTTTGAATAGTGTTGCGTAAGTTTCCGATATTTTTTGACATTGATGCAAAAAATTAGAAAAATTTCAAAACCTTTCGTGATAGGACCAAAAATAAATTTTTGAGCAAAAGTGGCTGTATTTTTATTCAACTTTTTCTTTGCAAATCGAAAGGCTTAAGTCAGAAAAGCATCTCCAAAATTAGAACAAACAACACAATTCACTTTTTTCAGGGCGGAAAAGAATTCAACAATTATATTTCCTCTACCAATTGAACTAATTCAGCACTTCATGAAGCAGTGAGCCACGTTAAAAGGAAATACTGTACAAAATAAACTCAGAAAACGGCAATCACGCATATTTTCTTGAAAACTTTCCAACTTCAAACTACATTGACCTCCTATCTTTTAATAGTCTTTAATAATGCCACAAAAAAAAATATTAAAATTTCATTTCCGAGTGACAACAAAATACGTCAAAATAAACATTAACCTTGTCATGAAAACATTATAGCAATAAGTTTCAAAACAAAAGAACGATGTTGACTACACGCAGCTTTCTTCTGTCAACAGCGTTGCTTGACTTATTTTTTAAAGTTTTGATTAACGAAGTCATCAAAAACACTTGGTTACTCTTCAGCATCTTCAACTCGTAGCAAAAAATACAAATTTTTGGTCAGTGACCAAGCTTGTAAAACAATAAACAAGAAAATTAAATAAAAGCAAGAGCAAAATCCAGAGAAAATGAAAAACCAGATGAGCATGCAAAAACAACGAAAGCCACTTTTTACCGTATTTTTTTGGCAGCAAAGGCTACTGAAGAGTTTAAGACGAACAAAATTTAGAGGTGATGGACAGCACTTATTTAAAAAAAACAAACAGCTCATTACGGTCTTTCAAATCAAATTCTTCACGCTCCTAATCACAAATGCAAAAAACTTATCCGATATTTCTTAAGAGTATTAAATCAGAAGTGTCAAAGACATATCGTCCCTACTTATCCAAAATTATTTAGGCTTTGAAAAAAGTTTTTTTTTCTGAAATACCGAAAACTTTCAACAGTACTGAACAAAAACGAAGTGTTTTTCAAAAAAGAATCTCATTCTCGACAACTTTTTAGTTAATAAATAAAAAATAAAAGCAGAGAAAAGTTCTAGTAATGTTGAAAGTAAACAAATAAGTGTGAATATAGGCAATATGTTCCAATTGCGCCGCTTTTCACATGTTTCCAACTAATAAACTTTCACCAAATTAACCTGAGCGAAACGCATTGTCCAAACCAATCATTTTTTTAATGCTTTGTAATTGGCTTGAAAAAACGAAATCAGGGTCAAACCAGTTCTGCTGGCGCTTTTGAAAGCTCGAGTTTCTTTTTCCGATTATAATGCTACAAATTTTGATACAGTGACGACTCGGCCACCATTAGATTGCAGCAAAGAAATTTCTTCTTCATCTGTTCCATAACACTTCCGGATTACCGTTACATCAAAATTAAAACCAGCAAACATTTTTTGGTGGTTCTGGGGTATATGCACACCAGTTAAATCAGAATTAAATATTCAACTTGCTTTATTGGTTGCACTAAAAAAGAACAACGTGCTTTCGACGTTTCAGTTACCATCAGAGAGAGAAGCTAAGAAAACCACCACAATAATAAAGTAACTCTTTGATTAATTCAGCAAAGTAGAAGAATTCCGTCATTAGAACAAAATTTCAATAAAGCGAAAGAGGATAAACTCAAGGTACAAGACGTCCCTTAATTAACAGAACTTTCAGCACCGTTGCAGTTAAACTTGTATACCTTTAAACATGTCTCACTCGGGCGACAACTTCACTTGACGTATATGGAATTCTTGACACCTCTTGATTCATTTTTGATATTTCATATTTGCCTATGTAGCTTTTGCTAGCTTCTTGTCGATAAAGTGTTCACTAAACCCTTTCATCATTTTAAAACACAGTTTTCGCTCTAATGCTCGGTGCAATAGACAGTACAGACACCATTTAACCGCGATTATAAGAATCTGGAAGTTTGAGTTCCACCTACCTGCGCAGTTCCCCTCTTCACAGTTCCCTCATTTCTTGGCTATTTTCTGAGTGTCTTAAACTACCCTATTGATTATGGTGTTTTTGCCGCGAAAATAAGACTCACATACTGGCACTCAGTGGGTTTATTTTCTGAAAAAATCTGCTTTGCTATTTTATAAACGTCTCTAGTTGCTTCTTAATTTGAAAGGTAGTCAAAAGTAACCTTGAAAAAATATTTT